TATAGTATGGCAAAGAAAAATCATAAAGTCATAGTAGAGCAAGTCGAAAAAAGTAAAAGAAAAGTCAGTATGTCGAAAAACTTCATGGTATAGCATGTGGAAAAGAAATCATAATAGTATATTATGTTGAATACAGTCAAAAGTAAGTTGTAGTATAGCAAAAATATAAAAAGTCATAAAAACGTTATAGTCTAGTACAGGTGTCGGCAACCCGCGGCTCTTCAGCCTCTCTGTTGCGGCTCCCTGAGGCTGCATCCACACTAATACGTTTTTAAAACGATCTCCGTCCACACGGCGTTTCAGCATCGTTTTCTAAATGATCTCCGTCCAACGAATATCACGTGACTATTCACGTACACTGGGCATGATGGTGCCGGTGTAAACGGGAAGTAGATTGGTTGCTTAGTTAAAAAAAATACGACAGAGTAATAAAGTAGTCTTTAATAATGAACGGTTGTGTTTGATACTTAAGATCTTCCTCTACGAACTCAAACAGACACATTTTGTAGAAAGTTTTATTTTTCGCTGCAGATCTTGCTCTCTCTCTCTCACATCACATTTACTTTAAAATGAGCACTTACAAATAAAAGTTTACTAACCATAGCACAAAAAGTAAGGAAATTTGTGTTTGGTAGATTATTTCTTTGTTGTAACAAAGTTTCTGGGCAATACATCTTATACCGTTAGAAAGCCTGTTTATTTCCCTTTTAAATGGTGCCACATTTGTAAGGAACAAAGGCATTTGTGGGATGAGCAGCAGAGCTGAGTATGTGGGCTCATGAAAAATTTGTCAAATATTCTCTGCCAATGCCAACAGAGCGGGGTTTATCAGAGACTACCCCCAGAATTTGGGAGTGGAGGATGGAATGGCCTGCCAGCAGTCCTGACCTCAACCCCATTGAACACTTCTGGGATCAGCTTGGGCGTGCTGTTCGTGCCAGAGGGACCAACACAACCCTGTTGGCTGACTTGCGACAAATGCTTTTTGAAGGGATGGGATGCCAACCTACAGCAGTGTGTGACCAGGCTGGTGACCAGCATGAGGAGGAGGAGCCAGGCTGGTGTGGCGGTGTATGGCTCTTCCACACGCTACTGAGGCTCCTGTTTGTTAAATGAATAAATTGTTAAATTGCCAATATGTCTTGTTTCTTCAGACTTCAATCATCCAATCCACCAAACACGAGTTGATGGCAAAATAAGCTGTTTGGCATTGGCAGAGAAGATTTGGCAAATTTCTCATGGGCGCAACCCACATACTCAGCTCTGCTGCTCATCCCACAAATGCATGTTCCTTATAAATGTGACACCATTTAAAGGGAAATAAACAGGCTTTTCAACGGTATAAGATTTATTGCAAAGAAGTTTTGTTACAACAAAGAAATAATCTACCAAACACAAATACTTACTTTTTGTGCTATGTTTAGATTATGGATCAATAAATGAGGTCAACACACGTCTCTCACTCGTAGCTCTGCTGGTGACTGAAGTCTCTGTCGTTCTGGAGAGCAATCAATGTTTAGTTCCTTTATAGTTTAAGTGTGTGGACTTCAAAATAGTTGTGCAGAACAAAATAAGCATTACTAAGAAAAGGAAAGTCCTCCGTTTTGTGTCTGTCCTCCTCAAAGCCGCTAACCGTGACTTCAGACATCCGCTCCGTAGGGCTGGTAACGCCGCCAAAATTAAAAAATGTTAGTTTGTCAACTAAAATGTGCCTCATGTCCTATTACGTCGCTGTCAAGCTCCTTTCCCTGCAGGTGGCCGATTATGATTTGCAGACCCCCGCCCTCGGTAAACTATTGTAAGCTATTATGTTGAGCACGTTAAGAGCTCTCTAGGAAGCAGTGTTCCTGTGTATGTGTTTGGTGCTTTTATTGTGGAGGATGAGACGAAAGAGAAAAAGAGGTTCTGGTGAAGTGTGGGAGAAGTGAATAAAGTTGCTGCCGTCTTGGCGCAGATTACGGAGCCCCGTGTTTATTAGGGCCCGAGCACCGACGTAGTCGGAGCGGAGGACCTATTGTTATTCTAATGTTTATTATTATTATCGTACCTGTTTCGTCGCAAAAAGGAGGTGCTGGGATACTGGTAAGATTTTGAAATTTGGCATACAAGGCAGTCATGGTGAAAATTGCAGTGTGATTGGGCTGTCCAGCTGCGGTATGAAAAATTGGCTCAATAGCGCCCCTTTTGAGTAGCCCCAACATTGGGTTTCATCTAGCTGTATGAAATTTGGTAGGTATGTGTAACTTGATTGAACATACAAGAAATCCAAATCCATGTTTCACATGCTCATGATTAATAACTGAAAAGACATGTTTTTGAAAAGTTCCTTTATGAAGCTCTAACTATGACTTCTGTTACTTCACTTGAGCCAACACCCGGAACATTAATTGCTATGGAAATCAAGTAATCTACTTTTTTAACTGCCTGGATTAATTCAGCCACAAGATGGCGCTATCAGTCTTTAAAAAAAGCTCATTTTACTTCAGCGTCTAACAAAATATGTTTTATTGAATAGTCAAATACTTTCTGGGTTGATTTCTAAAATTTGTCTAAAAATTGGTTTACGTGGTCGTTGAATTTCTTATATACAAGTTAGGCTCAGTTTATATTTTGAAGCAGTTACGATTTTCTCTCACTGATATAGTCTGTGCTGACAAGAGTGTCTCAGTCGTGACCAAAATTATTATTCCAGATTACCTTTATTCGCTTCTGCAGCTTGTCGCAGAGCAGGAGACCAACCAAAACTCCTGGAGAGAAAAAAAGAAACCGTGTTACTTCGGGCGGGAAGGCCTCTATAACTGCCTGACAGTTTGATGCGAACTTGTGTAAGCGGAGGTTTGATTCAGCGAGTGATGCTTGCGTTCGTGGAAGCAAGTCGATTGCACTCCTTCGGCGTCTTCCAGCACTCAAGCCTCCACCACGGCCGCATCAGCTTCTCGATGTAGCATCAGCACTTCCAACTCTGTGTCTATTCTTGCCGTTGCCAACTGATTTTCGGCTTCTCTGGCAGCCTTTTCCATTTTCAGTTTAGCCTCCTGGCTAGCATATGCTGCTCTCACTTTAGCAGCTTCTGCTTTAGCCCGAGCACGAGCCACACTTGCCGATGATGCTGCTGTCTTGCTGCTCCTAGCGCTGGATACAGACGATTTGTCGTTGCTTGCCATCTTGACCACTTTGAAACATCCAATGCTGTCTTTTCACTGTAGTGTTCTCATGCAGTGTCAAAACTCTGATTAAACACCAAGTTAAACCACAGCCAATGAAGACAGAGTCGTAGTAAGTTTCACCTTTTACTGTCACTCTTCGCCATTAACATGTTGTGAAAACTTAAAATAAAGACAATACAAATATTCAGTCTGCATAATTAACATTGCACGGTTTCATGGTTGTAAATATAAATATACAACTGCAATCATTTGCACATTAACAAACTGTCAATTAAATGAACTTACATTGCTTCTAGGATGCTTCCAGGTGGATGCAAGTGGATTACTCTTCTGAGCATGCAGTTCTCTATTGTATGGCTACAGCTAACGAAGTTACCGAACCGGAAGTGACAAACCGGAAGTTATGTCAGGACGTGAACAGAAAAACAACATTACAATAACTATCTTTTCGGCACTTTCATATATATTTCGACATTTGAGGTCTTATATTTTTCAGTTTTAGATTTTATATTTTCAGATTCAATTCTTATTTTTTACAGTTTCAAATCTTTTTTTCAGTTCAGAATTTTGTCCCTGATCTGGCGTGGGGGGCGTGGCATCAACTGAGAGGGGCGTGTCATCATGAGTGACTGCATAACAAAGAAGGCGGAGGACCGTCCTCAACCGCGTTGCCTTCAGGAAACGTGGACACTGCGAGAATTATAATTCAACACTTTCTGTATACACCATATTCACGTGAATGGAAGTAAAACAAATGAAGCTAGTGACAGTGTCTGTTTAGCAAGCTGTTTTAGCCCCTACTTAGCCCAAATCGCAGTAAAAGAGCAATAAACTATGCCATATTGTGCCGTTCAACTACCACACTTTAATATCTGACGTTTCGCACTTCCACACACCACTGTGAACGCAGCGTAGTGTCCTTGCGATGGCGTCCGCTCCACCTGCACCGCCTGCTGGCGCCAGCGCGCAGGTAAGAAATCAATGTTATTTTTTTTTTATAGATACTACAAATTAACCTAAACATTGGATACTATGACAAAAGTCATAGTATAGCAAGACTAAATCATCACCGCTCTCCCAGCGCTGCAGATCTAGCGAAATTTGGCCAATATAAGAAGTATAAGAATGGCTCTCAAGTACGACTCTGTTGTCTTTGTACCAAAGAGCCATTCAAAAGATTTGGGTCGTTTGCAAAAGGACGGTAAGAGCAGACTTTACTTCAGTATTTCTGGATCAGGAAACATGATCTTACCCTTTCAAATTAATAGTATTTCTTTATACATTAGTTGCACATACTTATTATTTGCAAGAAAATTTAGTCTCCATACAAGAAGTGCTCCTGTGAAAAATCACCTTTGCATCTATACACATGTAAGTGGAACCTACGAGAATTCAAACTCTATAGAAGTTCCTCCACTGGCAGTAAAACTTGGCAACACATTGTCTTCTTGTTCTACTGCAACATAATAAATGTGACGCTGCTGCTTCAGTAAAACAACGCAGACAGAAGACTCTCGGGAACAAAAGTCTGCCCATGTTTCTCTGCTTTTACTCAAAATATTTGTTCCGTTCTGTTTCACGCAGGAATGCCACTGTGTGTAGTACTCTCGTTCGGTTCTTTTTTTTTTTTTGTTAAGGACGGACATGAAGCATTCATGCGCTGCAATTCAATGTCAAATCTTCGCCGTTTCACATGAATTATTAACGACAGCCAATTGGAGATGTGACGCTGCCTACTGTCGCTCTCTCGGTAACGATGTGACTTTAGGCAAACAGTGACAGGTCTTCATTCTGCTCTGCTGCTCACTTACATAACAATGCAGAAGACAACCGTGCTGAGGTTTCACAAAAGAAGATAGCCGAGGCTTTCTGCACCTGTTTTTATTTGACATTCACAAGTAACACGCACAGAACAGAAATCTACTACTCTTGCCGCAGTTGAGTCAGTCACTCTCCCGAGCCATTATTGTGTTACGTGGTTTGACAAATGGCCCTCACCTTCACTGCGGGGCAGACCGGAGCTGGCGTCGATGGGTGTTTGAGTGGTGCTCTAAATTGGGTGAGTGCAGACGAGGGAGCAGAGTTGGTTACAGTGAGTGCCCACAAGTGCAGTGGAGGACGTGTAGAGGGCACACCTGAGGAGCTAACGAGGTCTCTGTCAGTTGGTGCTGATGACAAAAATAGAGACATTGAAGCAGTTTGAATTCCAAGATATAAACATGTGAAGGGGTCAAAAGAGAGGACGATAAGCCTTGGTTTACACTTCAGAACGAGTGTGTGCTGGCAGCATCAAAAGTTCAGTTCAGAATGTGTGAGAGCAGCATACGGAAACATTTACACCCCACATTACTTTTAACAAAACTGTGCACGGTATAAACTTGACTTGTACAACTTTTAATCCAGCCACATCGGGACATCATAACCTTTGTTACTAATGTGGCTGGTAACACATTCAATGCACAACTAAGAAAACACACCAAAAAAAAAAAAAAAGAAATCAAACAATGTTTCACAAGATGGCCATGAATCATAAAAACAACAGTAACACTAATGTTCACGGACGTCAGAGTGCGGCACCCTCTCTGTGTTTGCAACAGAAGGTCACAGAACAGTCAGTGGCAATGACGCACTGATGAAAGCTGTGACTCGGCCAGTGTTTCCCAACAAGTACTCAATTATGTCCACCATAGGCTGAAGACGATCATATACAGTCATATACACTATAGTACTTGGAGTTTCTTAAAATCCACTGATCAATACAAATGAAAAATATGTACTTTGTGATGACAAACAGCTTCTAACTGTGGAATAGATTCTGACATCTTTGTGCTGTAAAGAACAAGACCATTTACTGATCTGATATTCCTCCCAAACATGGAGGACAATAGAGTGCTTACAGTTCTCATAGTTTTGCGTACAGAGGAACTCCCCTGCCTGACATCAGTGCAAGTAGGCGGACAGTTGTGTTTACGTGCTGATTGATTGCCAGGCCAACGCTCCCAGCCGTCTTCCCACCCAGCACAGAGCCGCTCCCAAGGCTGCCGCGGCCATCACGGCCAGGCCGGCCTTCAGCACGGCGCCGGGGTGTCTGTTGAAGCGAGCCGGGGCCATGCACGCCAACATGGCCACAGTCACGGTCAGGGTGAAAAAAATGGAGACGGCGGTGTTAATGGCCACTATCTGGCCAAACTTGGCGAAAGGCACAATGACACAGAAGAAGAGAGGGACGGTGGAGATCACTGTGGTGACGGCGCTGGACACTATGGCAACGCCCACATGGTTCACTGCCTCCAAGGTCCGTCTCTGCCTCTCGGGCCCTGGCTCCTGCAAACAAAGCAGAGATTAATAGGAGGAGCGGCTCCTCTTTATTCAAGGTGACTCTTTGCCTTATTAAATCCAAAATCGTAGTCATTAGCTGTGTGTAAACAGAAGACGTGCAGTGACAGTTTTTCTAATTGCTGAAAGAATGTACACTCTCATACTGAGTTATGACCAGGCGAAGAGGAAAGGGCCTCCCCAGCCAGCAGGTATCCCTCCACCAGGTGCAGACAGTAATCCACTGAAGATCCCACAAGTATGGATAGAGAAATTGCCTCCACTCCTCCCATCTCCCAGCCCAGCCAATACATGAGCGCCACTACCAGACAGATCACTCCTGTTGAAAAAACTCAAAATTACACTTGTGATCCCGACCCAGGCCTGAATATTCAATTTTAAAATTCCTTTCTGAGTGTCTAAACGTGAGTCACTTCCAAACCTGAAAGTACAGATTTTCATCTCCTACCTAGAATGGTTATGAGTACTGGGAGCAGCAGCAGAGGATGTGCAGTAAACACGGACACAGCTGCCACACAGATGGCCAGAGACAGCAGCAGACTCCAGAGGGCACTCTCCACACCTACAAAACCAGAGAGCAGTATAATATCAGATTTTTACCGCCTGCCGCCTCCTCCCGATTAATCCTTTGTCAGTTTGCAGGAATAAACACATCTATTTGACACACAGTGCCACCTCTCTCACTCACCTATAATTTCCATGAAGATCTGCTTCCAGTGCTCGCAGGTCTGGAAACCCCGCTGCAGAGCGGAGGACTGCGGGAGTGAGGCGAGCTGCTCCTGGATGAAGTTCTCCCACTGAAGGAAGTCAGAATAGGTCTGAAAGGAGGATTTCCCCTTGTATGTGGTCTTGAGAGAAGAGAGAGATGGAAGATTACGCATTGGCACCAACTGGAACAGTGCTGCTCTGTGATGCAGGAACAAGCTGAAAGATGGAGGGACTTACAGACTCAAAGGCCATGGACAGCCAGCAGACCTTCCCTCCACGCATTCCCACCGCTCCGTGAGAGAGCTGCCCGGGGAGCAGGTTGGGCTCAGGGAGAGAGTGACATTCAGGATGGAGCAGAGGCAGAATGGACGACAGTTTATTACCTGAAGGGAGGACAGGACATTTCCTTTCACACACTTCTCATTCTCAACACATCGTTATTTTATGCCACTTTGTCTTTGTTCAGGATTTGTGTTTTCTTTACCCACTTTATAATAATTAAGGTTTTAGTGATGCAATCACTGATTATTTTAATTATCATCTTATCATTATCAATCCGCCATTGATTGATTTATTTTATAATAAAATAGCATTAATAATTGAATCGATTAATTTTTGTTTTTGTTGATAAATTAACGTATCAATTAACCAACAAACAATTTTAGCTCTACGGTTTTAATAATTGTTCTGTGATATTGTTTGGTGAAATAAAAGACTTCCCTCTGAATGGTGATTGGGTGTTACCTGAAGGCAAACACTGCGCTCCTCCTGGCTTTACAAGTTGTGTGTTTGCACTAATAGCTTTACAGATCTTGCAGAGAAGCCCCATTTCCTGGAAAATATCAAAGTCTGGGTCCAATATAATGCTGCCCTTTGGAGAGAATTAAACACCATGTCAACCACACGATAATATAATATAGAAATCTGTCTCTGCTTTATTTCTGTTGATTATTAAGATACACTGACACCACTGTGGCCCTCACCATATCGCCAATAACGTGGTTGTCCCTGATTTCGGTTCGATTGACTCCCAAGATGCCAAACACAACGAAAACCATCGCCCCGGTGTCGACCAGAGGACGAACCGCTGGATGGCCACATGCGCCGCCGCTGCATGGGTTGAAGCCAAACGTTTTGGATGATTTTGTTTTGGCAGCAGAAGAGGCATCTTTGAAAATAGAACCAGAGGAAAATCTGTCAACAGGCATTTATTTATACGTTGCAAAAATATCTGTATAAGTAGAGTACTGTGGGAAAATCCTCCTGTGGGTTCAGAAGATGCCACTTTAAAAAAAGCAACATTTGAAAGACTGTTGTATCACAGTTTCTCTATTTTAAAGGCTCAACGTCAGAATGAAAAAAAGACATGTCACAGTGTGACACATGCAGCGAGAAAATAGTTTTCACTGTGGGCTAACAAACTGTGACACTAGCTCACTCACCACTGGGAATATAAAAGGTTCCCTGTGTGGGTCCATCAGGCCCAGAACTGATGCCGCAGCCAGGCGGGTTGACGCACACGCGGCTGGGATGAGGTCTCAGGCGGCGCTGGGCAAAGCACAGTCTCCTAAGAGCAGAAAGAGCAGAGCTGAAATGACAGATTGTCCACTAAAACGACATGACAGTCCATCTAACTCACACTTTTGGGTTTTTTTCACCTGCTGTTCTGCTGCAGAGATGACGCTACATAAAAGGAAAACTCTGGCGTCCAGCCATGACGGGGTTCACACAAGGTGGATGTGATCATCCAGCTGGGGTACGGGTGGTACACATGGGAAACACACACTGTCATTCTGGTGGTGTAATTGCCACGGGGCTGATTATAAGCCTATTCAGATAAAACAAGATTAGTTATAAGCCGCTTTAGTGGCACATATTGCAGTTGGGACACATAACGGTACAACTAATTATACTATTGTCATTACTTTTTTTTGCTCTCTAACCTGAAATGATGACACGTCTTCATGCTCTGTGCGGCACAGTTTCCATGGGGAGGGAGTGCTGGTGTTGAGGGAGAAGCGGTAAAGAGTTGTAGAGGCTCCAAGGTCCAATTTTGATATGAACACTGTAAGTAAAGAGCCTGGAAAACAAACACAAAGTCCAATATTTTAAAAATAGTGGGAGAGGTTTTGAATACAGAGGAAGAGGATTCTTATGTGCTGAATTTCACCTGTTTGGTTGGTGCTTGAATTTGGTTTTACTGAGCTCCGAGGAGAAGAGAAGGCTGTTGTGCTCTGGGTCTGCTGATGTGTAGAGAACTTAAATGCTGATGAGGAAGCGTGGGTGTACAAAGGATGGGGCTTTTCCATGAACACACCTGCAGATCATACGATGAAATTCCGGTATTTGTTTTGGATCTGTGAGGTTAACTGGTGAGTGTGTGTGTTTCCATCACTGCCACAGTCTCACCAGAGCACATGGGGCAGGAGATGCCTTGGCCGCTGAGGTTGCTCCTCAGAGCCAGCAGAGTCTGGAGGTTTGTGTCCCGGCGGAAAAGAAGGGGGGCGTGAGTGGCGGGCCTCAGGAGACAGCAGAACCCAGCAGACAAGAGCAGCACCAGGAGGAAGACACCTGGGCCGACAGGAAGACAATGATCAATGATGGCAGAGACGAGGCGCTGATGGAGTAGATGGAGCAGCTGAGAGACAGATCAGGAGCAAGAATCAATTACAGTAACTCCTTAAAAGAGGGAGGATAAATGCTTCCTGATAGGCACTTGCTCTTCCTCTGACAGACTGAATCCCCTCCGGCTGGACAAAGATGAGCTGAAAGTTACTCTCACGACTAAATCATAGATCAAGATCTTGGCTGACAATATCTTTGAAAACCAAACTACAGACATTTCTCCCTGACATTTTACAGAGTATAAATTTCCATGTCAAGGGAGTTCTCAGCGATTTATATCAGATCTCACCTAGAACGGCCTTTCGCCGCACCACGGCCGGCTCTGCCACTAAGTGCTTTAGAGCCCACCGGAGATTCGTGCTCACCACGCCCACATGCTGCTGCCCTGGAGGGGAGAGAGGTGTCTCCACTGACAGGGAAAGAATGGCCGCGTCGCCATCTGTGTCACAGGAGCCTGGGTCAAGACAAAGACAGGGGGCTTAGTGGCCTACAACCTAGACTCATTCCCTTTCCCATTCCCCCCCGCCCTCATGATTCACTCAATGCGAGGGAGATAATAATCTCACCTGGCTCCATCTCCACTGACAGAAGTGCCACATCATCATCCTCATCTGACAAAGGGCCGTGGCTCGCCGACAGGCCCGAAAACAGCTTCCAGCTTCAGCGAGAGGAGGCAGTTTAGGGAGAGAGACAGCTGAAGGGATTACAACGTGCCTGTGGTGTCGCACAGCATGCGCAAGTAAAACCTCACACAAAGGTATGGAAACAGTGCCTCACCAATTCAACCAGGCGTGTTCCTGAGGCTCCACACACTCAGTCCAGATACAAAGAGCGGCGGGCATCAGGGCGGATACCCAAAGCCAGCAGCAGCTCACAATGAGGGCCATGAATAGGCCGAAGTCATGCACAGCTGGAATCTAAGTGTCAGTTAAACGAAGCACAGTGTAAAGGAACTTGAAACATTGAATTTCTGCTTATCGCGTGCAAAAAACTGTCTGCTGAGAGAGGCACTTCTATTCACCCATAGCAGGGGAGGCATTTATACTCCGTGTACAGATCCTGTTAACAGTTGAATTTCTCTTCCATGCTTACCTGAGAGAAGGTGTTCGCAGCATAGGCAGCTGCAGTAGTGAAGGAGGTGAGAAAAGTAGCTCGGCCAGCTGTTTTAATTGTGTAGATCATCCGCTGCTGCGGTTGACGCAGATGAGAAGCCTGTCTGAAGGTGCTGATGAACACAAATACATCATCCACCCCTGAGCAGCAGTGAGAGAACAAAATAGCTTCCTTATTACATATTATGGCAAACATACTGTAAATAATTATTTTTTTTTTTCAACTACTGAAGGACAAGTTTAACATTTTGGAAAAATACACTCAAATTTCTTGCTGAAAGTTAGATGAGAAGATCGATACCACTCTCAAACATCACATCTGCTCATCGTCTTCTCAGTGCATTTCCCCCAAAAAACAATCAAACTATTCCTTTAATGAAAAAAAAAGGTATTTATTTTCCCTTACCAATCCCGATAATTACAAAGGCTGCAACTCCGTTGAGTATGCCCAGGTACCTCACGCCAAAGACAACATGGTACAGAAAAAGAGCCATTAGGCAGCTCAGTCCAATGCTAGTAAGTCCGAAGAAAGTCAGAAACACTGCAGAGAGACGACAAAGCATCAAAGAGCTCGTTAACATTCATGTGGTACCAAACAACGGACTGAGAGAATTGACTGCATCAATTTTTTTTTTTTTTTTTTTTTACTATGTCTCTTGTTTGCACTATCCACTATGCTGCTGTAATCCTGTAAATGTCCCCACTGGGGGACTAATAAAGGATTATTGTATCTTATCTTAATGCAAGAGGAATTCAAAGCAGGTCATACTGTACCAGAAAAGGAGGTAAGGACATAGACGAGCACAGTAATGCACGCTCCACTGATGACAGCCAGCATCATGTCATTGTAGAAGGTGTGTCTCACCTCATCGTCAAACAGCTCTGTTCCACCATACAGCACCTTCACCTGGCTGAACACATACAAAAATCACATCAAAGTTCAACTGTTTGCAACAATGTGTCGCACATGTGAACGCTGTGACTATAATGCGGCAAAAGCACTGAATGGAATGATTATGTACTGTAACAAATGGGCAATGTTGCAGTGATGTTGCCCTGACCTGGTGGATTGCTTTGCCAGGGTGTCTGCATACTGAACGACAAAGTCTTTGAAACGTGATCTTTGCTCGTGAGCTCGGTCCTGCATGGAGTAGTAGGAAGGAAGAGGAGCTCCGAAGTGGATCTCACTGCGTAAGAGGGAGGAGGAGAGATGCTCAGGGGACAGACTCTCATCCACGTACCAGTAGAACTGTGGGTGGGTGATGGCCAGACTCAGAGAACCTGGGAATACATACATGGCAAATCTGTTCTTACAGGTATTACAGGTTTGAAGGCTGTTATTTCCCCCCTCTTTTCTCACTGTGGGCTCACCTTGAATATCAGCTAGATCTGGGCCCATGCCATCATAGTATATCTTCCCTCCCCTCTCACTGGGGTACAGATAAGTCAGGAGTGAGCTGGGTGGGGAGCAGTAGGACGGTCCTAGTGGCAGATCCCTTAGCATCTCCAGAGGCTTCCAGCAGAACTGATGAAACTGCGGGTGCTGCATGAGCAGGCGCTCCACGTGGTGAATCGTCTGCAGACGTTCAGGAGTGAAGATGTTGTGATCGCCTTCCCCTTGAGCCACAAACACCAGCTCGATCCTCCACAGAGCCTGGCTCTGCAGGTAGTAATTGGGAGCAGATCTGCGCCTCCTAATGAGCGGAAGAGTCAAATTCTCATCCCATGATCTCTCTGCTTCCTCCGCTGCTCTGTGATTTGAGTTATTGTGCTTCCCCAATTCCAGCACTGTCCTTTTATCTCTGCTCTCTGAGGCTCCACTCTTCTGATCATCTGCTGCATGTAAAGGATCGTTAGGAGGAGTGGAAGACCTCACGCCCTCATTATCTGTCCTGTTGAATGCTCCCTGTCTGCTCAGCATCTCCAGCAGAAGCTCCCTCAGGGCCTCAGACTCGCTGTTATCTAAGTCTCGCCTACGTCTGTCCCAGGACCCTAGCTGAGTCTTTACAGCAATGGTGAGGGCGTCGAAGCGCTCGGCAGAGAAGTGACTGTGAACCTCAAAGGCACTATAGGAGAGGTCTATGTCCAGAGGAGGGCAGTAGAGGAGCATGTAGGCAAACAGGGCACACGGTAGCGAGACAACTACCCCTAAAACCACTCCACTGGCCCAGGGCTGTGTGTACACCCATCCTACTGCCCTCCAAAGTCCACACACCCCAGCCTCCCCAGAAAAACACCTCTGTCCTGTTGCGTGCCTTACTCCATCCTCCTCCTCCTCCTCCTCCTCCCCTCCCCAGTTGGTCTGAAACAGCAGTGGCTCATCCTCCACATCCATGCTGGCACCTGTCAGGGACACATAACACCACTTGATCATCGCTCATTTAAAGTAACACCCCTTTCTCTCTCGGGGCAGGAGCACAAAAAAAAGATGTTTGAACTGCCAGCAGCTGACATGAGCACAAGACAAAAGTGAAGGACAAAGTAAAAAATAAATAAATAAAAGTTGCACTCAGCAAGCAAGGACATGAGAATTAAGTGTGTCCTCATGCAGCTGCCGTCAAGCAGCTCACATGGAGAACATTGAGGAAGGGAGACCTCTTTTCCTTATAAGAGAAAATGGTTGGCTGAGTTCTGCTTTAAGATGCTGATCACAAGAGCTCGGGGGTGAGATAGGTTAAAAGCTGTGATTTAATTCTTCCCTCTGTCAGCGTGTGCAAGCCCATTATCACCCAGAGAGGGTCTGCTGGTGGCTGTCTTCGAATCCCCAGTAGCAGTGTCTGCTCTGCAGCAAATTAATTCATTTCACTTGTCTAATTACTGACAAGAAGAGCGAGTGTGATATTAGGCAGAGTTGAGGAATAAGAAAAGGTTTACCTCCTGTGATGGGCAGCCTTTGAATAATAGTGCCAATAGGTGCCACTTTTTCTGCACTCCTCGACACACAAGGTACTGCAGTTTGTATCCAAGTGGCAGTGAGCTCACTAACTGCAGCAATTTATCTATTCTCTTTAGAGCAGCGCTTTAAGGTCAGCCAGGTGAGACAGTGCATCTTGATTATGTGTAAAAGATAGCTGCTCTCCGCTCTGTAGCCTAAGTGAAAAATCCATCGTAAAAAAAAAAATAAGAATTTACAAATGACGCCGTGTAATCGATATTTGTAAAAATGATTAAGACTCCTCGAGTCAAAAAAAACAGAGAAGAAAGACTTGCGAGACAAACCCTGGAGCTGCAAATAAACTAGAGGCTTGTTGATTTATGGGATTTGTGTTTGTGGTCTTACACCTGAATAAACTATATTTTATGGTCGGGCTAAAGAAAAAGAAGTGTTGATGTCTGCTGGAGAAAATGCCCTTGTGTGCTTTGCAGGCACTGTGTCCACAAAGTCTCAGGTTCACTGATAATGGAGCAGCTCATGGATGCGTTTCATAGCCACATCTTTAACAGCCTGAGCTCTACACCTTCTTCACTTTCTGAGAGTGTTTAAAGTGCATTTTATGCTAGATTTTTTCTTTCATGAAAGAGAAAAGAAAGAGTTGAAACCAAGAGGAAAAAGGCCTATTTTGGGTCATTTTTAAATCCGCACAACACTTCCTCTTCACCAAGTCATCTAACTGCACAGACAAGGACACCAGTACACCTTCTGATGGGAGAGTAACATCTGCAAAGCTGCTCTGTTAGAAGACAAATGCATTAAAGGTCTTGGAAAGTTTGGTTTTAAATTGTAAAAACAAAGAATGAAATATGAAACAAAATCTTATTATTATTTTCAATTACTTTTGGATCTCAAAGAACAAAGAAAATAATTTGTTCCAATTTAAAGCCTGTAATTTGGAGGCATCATTACTGCTTATCTGCACCCATCATGGGCTGTTATTTACAAATGAGCCCAATATGTTGTTTTCTGTAATACCATAATGAAAGCCACTTTTCCTCTCCAGACGTGTTTCTGTCCGTAATATGACCAATTTTGTGACAAAATCTTAAGAAATATGTAAAATATAATTGCGCATTTAGAGTAAATGAAATGGAGTTTTGGTAAATATATTATTGTAATCCTGTTACAGTTCATCACGTCTGCCTCTCCAGCTTGTTTTGATGATGGTGCTCTCATCAACAGAAGATGAGAGGAGACACTCAGACGAGCACAGAAATATGATGAGGGAAGTGGAATGGAAGAGATGGGGAAAGAAAAGCCTGGGGAATGACTGAAGACACACACACACACACACACACACACACACACACACACACACACACACACCACAGCCGTCACCCTTCAAACAAACGACCAGCACCTCAGAAATCTGTGAAAAGAAATTGTGCTTTTCTGCTAGATTCATGGCAAAGCATCTAACAGGCAGATTTCCACAGCTACATTTCTGTGTCCGATTTAACGTCAAAACAGGCTGATTAGGGGGCCGATGTCACAGTCTGAAGAAGTCATCAGTGACGGACATGCAGACTTTGTGCCTATTGGACATCAAGGCAGAGCTCTGTGCTGTGTGCTGTGTGCTAACCCTCTGTCGCCTACTGTGCGCCTTGCAACAGACAGCATCCAGGTACAGTGGAGGAAAGATGACTACAGTGATGCACAGCCACAGGGAGACATCCCTTCCTCTCGTCTTGATGAGTCTGACTCTTCTTTGTGTCCAAGAGCATTGCACCTCATGTACAATGATTATGAGTGGTGTGCAGCTGTAAAGCACTGTGAGCAGTGCAGAGGTTGGTATGACTAATGTTTTTACAAGCTCCCACATGTTCCGTAAAGATTAAGAGCACACAGTCGATTTGCACCCTGCGCAGGTGTGGATTAAAAATAGTGTGTAATTTGGCATCGTGCTTCCTGTATTTAGAGGAATAAATGCTGTCTCCCTTATGGCTCGGTTTATATTAGGGGCTATGTTTCTTTGTCTATAATGTAGTTTTAGACTCAAAACGGAGATAAATGCACCGAGGGCCCTGAAGTGAAAATCTATTTGCAGCTTTTGAGGTATGAGATCTGGTATTAATCGCTTGAAAATCACTTACCTTCCCTCGCATAAGACTCAATTCTGAACTCTCTGTGTAGCTTCTGTTCTTCAAAATCTTTAAACAAGTGTTTCCCAGATAGTCATTGCAGCACCTGCTTGCTTGTACAGCAGTATTTGAAGCACCGTCTTGTGCAGCACAGAGCTGTATTTGTCTCCTGTTCAGCCAGTTGTGAGCAAAAAGGAAGGTGAACCATATATTCCACTCGACCAGTTTTTCTTATGTATTTTTTCTCCCATAAAAACGTGAATAAGCTGAGTGTAAGTGTTTTTACCCTCCACTCCATCTCTGGATTGTGTCAGGTAGTTGAGGTGGGAGCTCTGAGCGATCCCAGCATGCTGCCAGCCTGAACCTTTCACCTACAATCATCTGTCTCAACATCTCTCTCATCCCCCCTTTTGCTCGCCATCCCTCACTCTCTTGCCCTTTTCCTCCTTCAATCTTTCTGCCTTTTCTCCATCTTGTGTACAAAAGGTGAGAGATTAGTAACCTTCATTATTGACAGCAGATAAAAATAACCCCACCCTCCTCAGTTTTATCTCCTCTCCATCTCATCCAATATGGATATCACATGCTGCCCCACACAAACCCAGCCTGGTGTAAACTCAGCAAGCATACCACCTCATTTAAAGAGGCATCGATTTCACAACGAGTGCTCTATGAATACATTCCTTATGCATGAGCGCTCAGCAGTATGCTTATAGCGGACGTGCCTTCTATCCTTTGCGCACTGTGAATCTGGAGTCCGTGGTTCAAGTCAAACTCTCCAGATTCATTCAACGGTGTTCATTTTCTCATTGTGTTCTCGATGAATTCATGCTCGCACTGAAGGGAGTGCAGAGCTAGGTGTACGGTGTGTGAAGCATCGTGGTGCTGTACCATGCAATTTCTCCCACTCTTCTACATGAAATGTTGTAAATAATCCCCATATTACAGTGAGGGTTGTTTCCTTTTTATGCAGTTTATAAACACATTTATATACATAATGAAAAACTGCCCCAGAGTTACTCTGATAAACAATGCTTGTACTCCAAGCAGGTAAGATAAGCTTTTATTCATTTGTTAATTCATTTTTGGACTTTATCTGGCATTTCCAAGATAACTACACAGTTTGCTACCTTCAGGAATTATTATCTGTATTAATACATCAGGCAAAAATGAAAGCATCCCTATCAAAGCAAACGCCTGCAACACTGAGGAGTCTTACCTGAGGCTGATGAGACGAGGATTACAGGTGGAGCGTTCAGGCCTACTGGGTCCACTTGTATTGTGCTGAACTTGTGCTCTGCAATTTCATCTCCTCCATGCTCTTGTGGAAGAAAAAGAAAATTCACTGCTTTATTGTCATAGTTAATAACTCATCAAGAGAGAGACACCAAGGGAACCCCCACTAGAGAATGAGAGACACAAATCTACTCCCCCCGACAACCCCCCTTCACTCTACAGGAATCTTCTAATCTCAGCAGTTAATAATGGGTTGTTTTCCTCTCCTTTTGTGCTCCTCTGTCCTTTCTCTCTCTCTTTCTCGTGCGCCCTCCCCTCCTCTCTTACCCGGTTGTCCAGGCGACAGAGTCAGTGAGAGACATTTCTTCCCAGAAGCTCCTCTCTCTCTCTCCCATGGCTTTGTTCAGCTTGCTCTGCTGACTGGCTCACCGGTTGAGGACAGGCGAGGAGGGGAGTGCAGCCCGAAAAATCTCCTGTAAATCACCGGAGGACGGCAGGAGAGCCTGGAGACATTTGATGAATGAATCAAAACATGCCCCGGGCTGGTTCCAAATTAATTCAGCAGGATTTAGGGGACTAAAATAATGCAGTTGTCACGATACTGCAGCCGAGCACCCTCCCATGCTGTCAGAGTTGGTATGGTCTAGTCTAGTCTTGTTGGTGGGGAGGTGGGGTGTGTTATAAGAGTGTGATCACAATAACTTGCTACAGTGGTACAAAAAGTGCAGGCAATATGAAATAAGAGTTTATAAGCTTGTGGTTCATTTCCCTTTGCGAGCACGGCGCTCTCACTTTCAAACCGTTTAATCTGCCTCGCTGTTATAGATGCATTCTGACTTCTGTGTGTACAAGCACACACATATTTTGTGGGGTTCATAAAATCAACTCCGAGTTTGACTTGTGTTTGTCTTGTGCAAAAACTGGTTTCTCCTGGACTGTAGTGCCCTCGCTCACTCTCATCCAACATTAATGACCAGCGCTCCACTCTTACAGACACATTTAACTCATCCATCACCTCACGTCTCAACCTTTGCTCAGGTTGAACTTGGATTGCATTGGCAATAAGAAATACTCCCATTATTTAAAATGGGAACGGTTAAATCTGTAGTTTCACCCGATGCAGCTCTTTCCATAGCAGGTGGTGCAGTGTGTGAGTCAACCAACTAAGAAAACAGGTTTAAGCCTGCTGCTCATGTCACAGTTACTGTGTGTTGGCACCCTTCAGGAGACTGACTTCATGCTATTGGCGCAGCCTTTGACAGATCCATCTGACTGAACAGACTTTTTCAGTCACCTGAGATCAATAAAGTGAAGCAGAGTGAGTCTAATCACATCTCACTGTGAACAGATTGTATGAAAACACATCAATTTCTAGTACTGAATGTTGTCAACACCCAAACAGACTTCATACAGTGTCCTGTTTTAGGGTTTAATGAGTCCCTCCAATCTCAACAGACTTCTGTAAACATGTATCACAAATATTGGCAGGCAAGAACTCATATAGGCAGTTGACATATGATAATTAAATACATTTAAATAATACAAAATATACATAAATCAGCCATTCATACGCCCACACATGCATACTGAACACACACATGCAAGCTTACATTCACAGGGCTTTCAGAGAGACAGACTGATATGTGTTCGCTCCCTGATCACACAGAAGAAAAAGTCAGTGTCAGTGTTTCTGTTTGATGGTCCCTGTTAGGGCAGGTCTTTCTGAAATAACTCAACTATTTGTTTTGGCTATGAAAGGAGATTCATATTAATGGCTATATCACTTGGTGGAGGAATCTGCCTGCACAACAACCTAAACTGGGAAGAAATGGAAAAAGATGAATAGTTTTACACATCTAGCAATATTACACAATTCATTTAACAATTGGCACAGAAGCAAATGGCTCTGCATGCAGGAGGCATCTGCACGCCGAGTCTCTTTTACTTGGGTAATGTCCTCACTAGTGGACAGGGACAATAATAGGGAACTGTCTTATCTCTCTGTATCATCAACAGTGGAACCCAGTGAACAAATGGCTTGGGGAAATAAAGAGAAGATTACCGCCTCACCATCTGGATCTTAAATCAAATGATGGAGTATTACATAATCTCCTGACTATTCTTATATATTCTTTTTTTCTAGATACTATAGAATATATACACACTACATATTACAGCAGCCCAACTCATCTCCTGCAAACAGAGGAAAATGTATGTATGTCTCCTCCTTTATGACTACACACAAAAGTCAGTGCAACAGAATAAATGGGCTGATATGAAAATCTGGCTCTGGAAAATAAACCTGATATTGATTAGCAATACAGAGTTGGAAAAACTATCTGCACCCATCCAGTAATTTCTGCAAATGACCATGGTCTGTCTTCAGTGTTGCACTGCAGTCAGCATTAATTGAGTTTTCCACTTAGATTCCATCTCTAGTGAGAGCTCCAATAAAGGGGATTAAAGTTGGAAAACATCTAGTATAGCATCATTTTAACACCTGCTAAAGGGGCTCAGAGGAAGGCCAGCATTGTTTGTGGAATTGTACAGTGTGAACACATTTTGATCTAAAAAAGAAAAGAAAAGTAAAGACACCCTAGGCAACAACCTGACAACTTCACTTAAAATCTTAATTTTACATTTACAGCAACAATTTTACGATCCAACAAAACATTTTGTCACAAATTATGCAAAAAGATTTAGCTTGTGGCCGTGTGTTTCATGATTAAACTTTGCAGTAACACTTTGGGCCTGAGTGGTTAATCAATTTGCTTCGCTACACAACGTTCATAGTGAAAAGCAGCAGCCCAAGTGTACTGGTCAGGACAGCTGACAGGAAACAATAGATCTCAATGTGCTATGGTCATTGGTCCATGAGAAAATGATGGTGCTGCCACACACACACACACACACACACACACACACACACACACACACACAC